TTTTATAATATGACAAACACATCAATGATATATCAATTCACTAATATAAAATACACCAATAACATATACTGTACAAATAACAATAGCATCAATTTCTAATTTTAATTTTTTCTAATTTCTTCAAATTTTTAAATCTTAAATATTATTGACTAACACATTAAAATCTAGATTTTTGTGTAATTCTCGTATGTTATTAAATGGTTATAATACTGTAAATAGAGATTAGCATACATTTTTAAAATCTAGTAATTATTGTCAAAATGAAGATAATTTAGATATAAAATAATAAACTTTCACCAAAATATAAGCCATTAATTATAGCACAAAACATTTTTCATGTCAATTAGTATATTGTTTTATAGATTAATAATAATTCATCCCATTGGATTATTAAGAATTATTTCAATTCTTTAAATAAATTACGACTGATATATATTTATACTTGGGTCGCAAAGTTCATTTGTTTTTAGAAAAAATTTACTCTTTTGTTTAAAAATACTTTCTTTAAATTTAAAGAAATTTATTATTTTTATGACAGGTTTATACAGATTATATACATATATTTTTTTCACTTATTCGCCTCATCGTTTCGTGATTGTTGCTACGCATATACAATGTTATATTATGAATAAGTTCTCTTTAAATTCTTATTATCCTTTAACAAAAGACATGATATTTTTTAATGTATAAACATTAGGTATTTTGTAAAATTGAAAAATTCTTGAATTAATATCTTAATCATTACGTAATATGTGCCAATTGAGTACCTGATATAGAGCCTGTATTAACTTTATTATTGTCTTTATGTTTTAAAGGTGTATATTCTTACAGTTCTTATAGTTCTTAACACAGTATATGGATTGTTTTAAATTCAAAATAATATTTTATAGTAATTTTCTATGCAATGTGATGCCATTTAGCATCGTGTCAAAACTCTATTACAAAAATTTAATCCAACTGTTTCTATAAGTATATATATATATATATAAATTATGACAAATTTATTTATTTATTACATTTATATCTGTAAGTAATTTATTTAAATTACGACGATAAGTTTTGATTCAAAAATAAAACACACCCACCCAAACCCACCCACACACAATTGTCAATAGGTTTGTGGACAAGTGTCGTTACAAAATGGTATCGAAACAGGAAATCATTTTCTTTGGAGTTGTCCTACAAAAATATATTAATACTATTCGCATTTTTGTATGATAAATGTCTGGAGAAGCAGGACGTGACAGACAGACAAATCGCATTTCCAGATATTTCATATATCGAGTATTAAAAACTCTACTCATTCAAAATTAGCTATAAACGTTTACTATTTTTAAATATTAATACAGTAGTGATATTTTTCCACAGAAAAAGCTAAAGTAAGTTGAATTGAGTATTCCTTTTCTACTGAAAGTGTTTTGCTTCAACGATTCAAAAGACGAAAAATAATTGAATAGCCTTTAATGCATCAATGATTAAGAATTAAACAGATAATATATGTTATATTATACGTAGGCCTATGTGTATAAATTGATCAATTGATTTTTGAATTGGAAATTATAAAAGTACTGTACGTGCTCATCGATGCGAATCTTTTTATATTACAAGTTTCCTGCATTGAAAATATAAACATTTATTATTTTTATTCTTTCCAAAAGTTTTATTATTAGATTTATACGGAATTAGTAAAATTCATTTTCTTTTTTTTGAAAACTTGAACCAATAAACAGTTTAGTGTGGAAATTTCCAGTTTGGTTTATATTGAATTATATTGCTTTATTTACATTATTCTAAATAAATTGCAGCGTTATAACAATTTTACACACACACATATACACTTTAAAACAAATTAATGATGTACTAATTAAGAGAGCACAATAAATTACGAATTTAAATAATTAACTAAGTAATAAATAAATAAACTATAAATTTTAATAAAGCTGTATTTTATTATAATTTAAAATTTATAAAATAATTTTATAGCGTAAATTTCACTTCTATTTACATTTTAATTGTTTATTTAAATCTTATTAAATTAATCAATGCACTCGAGTCTCTAATAACGGCCATTTGTAAAAGCAACCATGTCTTCAGGAATGTTTCTTTTTAAAATGTATACAAAATAACCTTCAAACAACGGCCATTTTTAATGTTCTCGTTAATGACCATTATTCAGAGGCTATAAAATTTTACACAGAAAATTTGAAGTTGAATCAGGAAAGAGAAAAATTATTTTTAAAAATACTAGTCTGTTTGGTTTATTTAATACATTTTATTGATTAATTCAATTGAACTCTGAAAATTGAATCATTTCATAGAGTCTGCGCAATTTATAGATAAATGAGATTCCTTTATTTATCATAAAAAACGCATTTTTAATTATTATCTCTAGTTAATCTAGCCAGTGCATTAAATTAAATGATTTGACAACTTACAAAAGTCATTTTTACAAATTATTACTTGCATGATTGTTCATTGCTAAAAATTACAATAATTTACTCATATAGTTCCATATGAATGACAAAATTAACTGATAATTTATTACCTAATTTTGTTTAAAACTTAAGTTATTAATTCACATGTCTAATTGTTTGGCTGCAGTCGTATAAATTTCATTGTCGTCCATTGTCAGTCTGTCCTTCGTTAATCTCGAGAACGAAATTATAGATGAAAATCGAGACCAAATATGGAAAACTTAGGGGACGGAGGCCCACTCAGACTAACTATAGCCTATACGAACTTCCGGTCTGAACCAAAAGCTTGTGATTTTTTAAATTAAAATATGATTAAAAATTGCAATCAGGCATTGTGACGATGACACAATTTATTAAAATTAAAATTAAATAGTCTTTCAAGAAAATAAGTTAATATTGACATATGTATTGATATCAAATTACTTTCTTAATAAAATCTCATAATAGACGAAAATGCTTAATTAATAATTAAAATTCCAATATTATTAATGATTATTTAAAATAATTAAAAATTATAAGATTTTTGAAGTAAGGTAAAGTAAGATGAAAAATGTAATTTAACGATGCCATTTCCAGCAGCATTAGAAAAAACAGAACAAGTGCTGTAAATGACATTTTACCAATATTTTATAAGCAAATATTCATAACGAATATTTGCACATTTGCTATAAAATGTTAGAAGTACGTTTCTCTAACGAGTCTAGCATATACAAATAACTCAGGTTTATATTTTTGCTTTGTGTTGCATGTAATATTTTATGTGACAATTCAACTCCGAATTTTAACTCTGATTTTGCAGTATGTCTAAATCATTTTGTTTTAGAAAGTTTTTATTCATTTTCTACGTATTATTATTTATTTATTGCATTATTTCAGCCTTTCTCACTATCTTACATCACCATATTAAAACACATTTTCATCTTACTATTTCTAAAGAATTTACTAGTCATTTTTTACTTTTACTTTCCTTCTGATTTTGCTGACTAATTGGGTTTTATATAATATTCTTCGTAAGTAATATTTTATAAATATATTTTTATTGATATAAGCTATATTTTATCAAAATAAACTTATATACAGTATATATATTTCTAAATTAATTTGATAAATTCTTCTTGAAAATTGAGTAAAAATGTTAATATCTTCCGCTCGGTAGATTAGAAATGAAAAATTAAATAATTTTAATAAAAAATTTTTAAATTAAATATTTTCTTAACAGTTTGTCAATATAATTTGCATTTATAAGATGTTGTTTACATCATAATAATATATCACGGAAAATATTTTAACCAGGAAAAAAATAATCTAAATATTTAATTTTCAACATCAATTCGTATCTTTAAAGTATAAAAATTAATATAAAAAATAATTTATATCGAATTAAATAATAATGATTTAAGTAAAGAAGTTTATCCAAAATTTTAAATTGGTTCAGTATAAAAGAATCATCTGTCAATAAAGTAAATTTCCTAAAAAACAGTCCTTTTTTGTAAAATTATTCAGAATAAAAATTTTAAATTTTACTCGCTATATAAGCGTTATTATTAATAACTTTAAAATCGAATTTTTGAAATAAAATAATTTATTTTTTATCGTTAACTTTCAAAATAACGAACTATAAAATTTGCAGACTGCCATTAAAAATTTATGGTTTTCTGTGGATTTATATTTTATAAATTGAGTTGACATATAGGCCTACAGTATTTGCTATTTTTTTTAATTCTTTTTATTTTTATAAGTTCATATACCAAAATAAAATAAAATAAATAACTAAATAGAAATTATTAATTACGACACGTTAAATCTAGCTCTATGTTTATATATTACTAAACTATATTTTTAAAATTCATTTATTATATAATTTTATAAATGTATAAAATGATGAGATTATTCAACCAAAGCATTATGTAATCCTACGATTGTATAGGCCTAATGTTAAAATTTACATAATACAGTATTTAATTTATACTAAAATTTATATGGTAGAAAGTTACTATCTAACATTACAGGATAGGATTAATTTCTATATAAACATTATGCAATTTTACAGAAAATTAAAGTTAATATTTGTATTTTTTAAATTGCATTAAGATGCAATTTATAGTATTTTGTTATTATATTATTACATATAAGCATGGTAAATATTGCGGAAACTGTTATGAACTTTTAATCAGTTATTATGATTCTGCTGAAAATTATATGTTTATTTACTATTTAATTATAGAAACTTATAAAAATTATTTTATTCGGTTTGCCATACTTTAATTCTAATACTTCGCAAATATAATAATACCGTTAATATAAAATGCAACATAACGATTTGAAAAATATTCATATGTTTACAATATTGACCTTAGTATAAAATTATTTATTTGTTAAATATTTTTACGGGTTTTATTATTATTGTTATACAAAAAATTCAAATATCTTTTGCTCGTATTTTCGAATCACTCGATAAAAATTTCATAAAATAGATAAATCGTATATATTAAATAATAAATACCCTTGCTTAATGTATTTTAAAAACGATAAAATCCTTAATATTGATTTTAATAAAACACGAAATTAATAAACTGATTTTAAAGTTTAGATACTATTAATCTCATAGAGAAATCTGAATTACCGAAGTGAAGCCACGTGCCGATGGTTGCACGCTTATTATTGACTAGCTTTGCGACGCGTGCGCAGACAAGAAGATAAAATCCTGTCAGTGCTATCTGTGCCGGTTTGCAGCGGAGGTACGGTGGCATTTACATCGGTGTCGTCTGTCACATCCACAATGTGCAACTACATCACTTTCTTGATCGTGGCTTTAGCCTTTTTCAACGCGGTAAATGCAAGGCATAAAGTATTGCTTGTTTTAGTAGATGGATGCCGCTGGGATTATCCAGATACCGATTCTACTCTGACAGGATTCAAGAAACTAGCCGAAAAGGGTGTTAGAGCCGAGTATGTTACACCTATTTTTCCGTCCAATTCATATCCAAATTGGTACACAATAGTTACAGGTAAGAAGCGCTTCGTTCTTAATAATAATACTAATATTAGATTTTTCTTTATTTATTTTTATTTTTTTTAAATTTTTAAATTTTTTTAAAAGTTTTTAAATGAATAAATTAAATTATATTTAACATAAATATTTTTAAAATTTTGAATAAATTAATTTAATTTTCACAGCGCTTAACTTTCAAAGCAACAGATAACTTGAAATCTGTTATAAAGTCATTAAACATGCACTTGCACTATTGTTCTTGCGAATGCAACTCTTTATTATATATTCTTCATTCCATTTTTAACTCTAAAATGTAGTAAATTTAATAAATTAAAAAAAAATTAAATTATTGTAATTGTTGTAAATCATCTCTTAACGTTTGCGATACTTAAATTAATTAAAAACTATGAATCATCGAAAATTTTACTTTAATTAAATTTAAGATAGACAGAGATGTGATTTAATTAACGGATTTTAATTAACATTTAAATTTTTTTTTTCTAAATTTTGTTTGAGTTACAAATGGTCTGTAAAAGGCATACTCCACGTAAGGTTACATCAAGGTGGATACTTAATATCGAAGGCGACCGTTGTAACATTTGGTTCCAGCTTGGCCGGTTGTAGACCTCGAATGTCGCTTCGAATGAGAATCAATGAAACTGCCGTTCTTCTTACTTAACAAACTCAAAATTTCTGTCTTATTTTTCAAAAGCAAGCTCATTTAAATAAAAATTATAAGAATTTATTTTGAAATTTTTTGAGGAAAAAATGAAAAGTTTAGCAAAGAGATAGAGACGCGAAAGTTAATTTATATAAATACAACACAATATAAATTATTCCATATAATCTTAAAAAAGCAATAAGTTGTATAACAGAACATAAATTAATTTTTTATTAAGGTTAATAGATCAATAATTTGATCTATTAACCCGTGCAAGAAATATATTGCACGGATTAAAAAAATAAATAAATATATTCTAGACAATATATTGCTTTATTTGTGTTTTTAACCGTACTGTACAATTTATAATTAAATATCAAAATTGAATCTTAATCATTTAATTCAATAGTTTGCGATTTTTGTTGCAAAATACATTAATTATAGAATGTTAATTTTTGCATTCGTTGACACACAAATCATAAATAAATAATAGATATAAACCATACTTTATTTAGATTAAAGGATTTAATAGTCTTTATTTTTTGAAAATAAACGTGTAAATTTATATCTTTCTTGAATATAATTTTAGATATTTAAATGTATAGACTATTAACAGTTTAGAGTTATCCGTTTGTCTGAGCATTATTGATTTATATCAGTTATTAAATAGATTATTAGAAGTGATCTAAAAACCATTTGGCCTTTTTAAAACAATTATTTTTTTCCAGAATTATTGGTACGTTTTAACTTTTCAATAGAAATATCTCGTAAAATGAATCTATTTTATAAATATTTCTAGTCAGAACTAATGAGTTCTACAAAATTACGATTGAACTCGATGAAAAACGTACGAAACTATATTTTTAAAATTCATTTATTATATAATTTTATAAATGTATAAAATGATGAGATTATTCAACCAAAGCATTATGTAATCCTACGATTGTATAGGCCTAATGTTAAAATTTACATAATACAGTATTTAANTCTAACTTCTCAATTGTAGGGTTAGAACCTATTAAAATATGCCAATTAAGTTCCCAAATTTAAGAAATGCTTATAAAGACTGAAAACTAAAAATTATATACTATTCGCTTATTTATAAATATTTTTAAATGCTTATATATTATATAAATATATAATCCGTTCTGACTTTTAATAAGGCAATTGATATAAGCGTTGATTGTGAAAACACATATAAAACGAGGCTTTATTTTGTATTTACTTCATAATAAGTTAAAATTAAAATCTATTTAAATACTTAAAAGTGTGTTTAAATATTTTATTAAAGAACTAAAATGGCGATAGAAATACACAAAGGCGTGTATAACATTCTAATAAAATAATAGTTTCTCTTAATTAAAGACTGGAATTAATGAAATTAAAATAACTTCAAGTCAACGCGATTATTTATAAATTAGAAGAAAATTTCGGTATACTTAAAAAAAGATTTTAAAAAAAAAGATTAGTTTCTACTGTTATAATTACGTATGTAATGTTTACTATGCAAGTTCTTTCAAATTTGGCTTTGATTCATTACTAAAATTAAAATATGAATGAAAAACCGAGCTAAATTTAAAACGTTCTAAAATTAGAGTTAAAATTTTTTCGTGCTCATCGAATAATGTAAATAATGCGTTTTCTATAATCTTAGAAAATTTTTCAACTATCTAACAGTATTTACTGTTTATCTGATTGAAATTAGTGTAACTAAATAGAGATTATATAATTGAATGTTATTTAGTGGATGGATTTTCTATTCTTCATGATAAATAAAGTTTATTTTTACAATTATAGGTATTTTACACCTTTTACGATGTATGAAATAAATTTTTGTTGTTGAAGCGGACAATATTTTATATGTTTAAGTAGACCAAACATGTTAAGTATATCTAAGATGTAGACTTTCATCTGCATTACAAGTTATAGCTTGTCTTTTCATCTGTAAACAACATAAATACTTACATGTGCATAGGCCTTGATTTTGCTTTTCTCTGTTCTTCAGCGTAAAAAAGTTTTATCTCATAAAGAGTAATATAAATGTCAAATAAAATCTGATCTGATCTATCAAACGTTATAAATAGAATGTTTTATAAACTATATTAAACACATGCGTTTTAATAAAATTTCTTATGATAAAACGAGATATAACAAACATTCATTCTGAAACAAGTTATTAATTATGTAAATTCAAAAATTAATTTTACAGATTTACATAATAAAAGCAAAGCGATTTCACATGTAGCCTAGATAGTTACTTTATATCGATTTTTTATACAAAGATTGCATGAGTTTTATCTGTTTTGAATAACATTTTAATTACGTTTTGTACATTTTACACGAAACTAATTTAGATAATTCCTAAAATATTTTAAAAATCTCAAAAAAATTTCTATTTAAAATCACTTAAGGAGCGTAACATATCCTAAATTCAGGATAATTTTTTCTTATTGTTATATTTGGACTGGGTTTATAATTATAAAATGCAGTACTTAATTAGTCAAATTTTTTATCTGTCTGATAAAGTTAGTTTTTGTGTATCTGCATTGTATAGTTTCATAGAGATATAATTTATTTGCTAAAAAGATACAAAATATTTTTCTAGTCATCGAATTAGACTTATCAGATAACTACTAATCATTTACAACAATTATTTATTACAAGAGCTAATCTTTCATTTCTTGAAAGCTTTCGGCACAAAGTAATTTTCTAAACATTAATATTAAAGGACTTCCAGCTAAGTATTAATATTTATAAACATTCATTATATATTTATATATAGGGTTACATTTATCCTTTCTTTCGAAGCCTATCTCGCAAAACTAGGAATCATCATAAAAAATTTATGAAGTATACATATAAGTTATGTGATATCAATTAAATATCATCTTCAATTTTATCATAAGCTAAATAAAAATACAGGAATCTTCAAAAGAATTTTACAGTTAAAATGTTTCTAAATATCTTTAAAATATATGTATAAATTTTAACTCAGTTGTAATACTATCAGGAGAGATATAAATTAAGTAAATCGTGGCATATTTATTGGGTAACTTTAAATCGTGAGTACCTTAAAACTAATTATTAACTTTGTTCTGTCGCTGGTAATGATGATAAACTCGATAAAGCAAGAAAGTAAATTGAGAATCTAAATTTCTTCTAATGACTTATTAACAAGCGAGTTAAATATCGAATAGCATAAAATCTCGCTTCTTGTATTTTATTTTATAGCATAGTACTCATCGAAAAAATAAAATTTTATCTATTTAGCTAATGAATTCTGAATGTATTCAGAAGTTTAATACGTTCTAAATATACAATAAAAATGCTTTATCTTCAGTTTCTTTTGTAAAAATTTAATACCTATTTTACAACATTTTAAAACTTATAAATCATTTTTATGAAAATAATCAGAAAATTTTTAAAATTTAGTTTATTTTATTTTAAATTATTTTTAATTTGCTTTATTTGTTTATTTACTATTTTTATAATTAATTTAAAAATGGATAAATTTAGGTGTATAGAGTAATTTGCATTTATGCCTGATGGTATGGCACAATTAAATTAATTTTTTAAACTAAAATAGTCTACTTTTATTCGGAATAAATAAAAATATTTTTATCTTATTTACAAGACTCCATTCTCCATCATTTATTATTCTTTCTTTCCTTATTTTCTAAATTATTCTTTTGTCATAAACTTTGCCTCGTTCAATCAATGAATGTTAAATTTTGAAACATGTTTTCATTCTGAATAATAAGGTTTCGTATTTATTAAACTACAAATAACTAAATTGTATAGCACGCCTGGAATGACAAAAATCTTTCATTTAAAGACTATTGGAATACGATTTAAAATTCTGTATAACTTAATGCATTCTCTCGAAAATGGATATTGCAATTTTCTTTATCTGCATTCTTATGCCATTTTCTTTAAATGCTTCATCATCAATAAAGTAATAACGAAAAATATAACTCTCGGTCTTGTACTGTACATAAGTTTGTATTTCTGTATAACAAGGAAGACATTTACGATAACAATTTCTTTGTCCGAGTAGATGTACTAAATAACGTGAATTTTTTAAACTATCTTATATTTTAAGTACATTCCTTTTGCTATTAAAAGGAACATTTATTAAATAATGCTCATTTTATTTACGATACTTAAGAAAAATTATATGCAGATTTCGCACTCTCATAATTTTCCGTTGCTTAATCTAAATAAAGAGTAGTTTGTTATCTTAACGTGCACTTATTTTTTTGTTCTAAAAATTACTTTCTGTATTAAAACATTCTAATAGCACACGCATACATATGCCTAAGTATGCATGTTTAAATAAATTTATTGTTTTAATGATTTCTCTGATGGAGTTTCCTCATATATTTCAAAAGTATTCATTACAAAATAAATTCAGAAGTAGAATTTGGTCTATATTATTTCTTATTTTATGCTATAATAACGTCTAAAGTTATTAATATTCAGAGTATTATTATAATGCTATTAAAAGGAACATTATAGATGTATAGCCTTAATTATACGAATATTTAATAGAAATAATTGAAGTATACATATAAGTTATGTGATATCAATTAAATATCATCTTCAATTTTATCATAAGCTAAATAAAAATACAGGAATCTTCAAAAGAATTTTACAGNAATAATAATTATTAATTCTTGAAATAACAAATTTTAAGAATGATATATTTTATATAGGAAAAAATTCCTATTAATATCAGTTCATTTGATGCAAATTTTTAAAAATATAAAAGCGTATAGGTTTATATATGAAGAAACTATTCATAGTTATATTAAACAAACGTACTGTACTGTACATATTCTATATTTTTATTCTTTTTTATTATACATAATGACGAATTGTAGGTAAAGTTGATTCCTAATTAAAAATTTCTTAAAGAAAAACAATAATACAAAAGCTTTAAAATATTTTTGACAAGAGTGAGGTGCATTCTTTCAAAGTAATTTTTTTCCATTATTTTTTGCCCTGCGCGTATAAAAGAGCTTTGTTTTTTTTGTCCGCAAAAAAGAAATATTTATAAATGTACAAAATAAAAAGCAAAATTAAAATAATCCAAAAATTTTAATAGTTTTATAAAATAAGTATAATAAAATTAACATTAGCTAAGTCATAAAAGTAAATAAATTTTCATATTAATGTAAAAATTGTAAACAAAAATGACCGAACGTTATTTTACTAAAAGTTTCATAATTTGCCGTTATAAAACTCTTTTAATTACAGCCAAGCCTCGATAAAGCGCTACCATCTGTTCGCCTTTGAAATTGGTACTAAATGAAATGTGGCGCTAAACCGAAAGATCTCGAATGATAAGAATTAGATAAAGCAATGAAGTCTACACATAAGTTTGAAGGGCACGTAATTTGGTGACAACAATGCCTTTTGCAACGTCAAATCATGCATTTAATACGAGTAACACACAAAGGCTGAAGCATTCTCTATTTAATAGTTAAGTGGAAAATTAGTTCGTGAGATTTATTGGCGCTCTTTGAGTGTTGCGCTATTTAGGAGGACGTTATATCGAGATTTGACTGTATATTATTTTAAAAAATTCTATAATTTCTTATAGAAATATTATTTTCTATGAAAACCATTCCAAAATAGGAAAAAGTAACTTCAAACGTCCCAAAAATTATCATCATCATTTTAATAAGCTAGTTTTATACATGAAATAATTTTTAACGCTTTGTTACATTATATTTAAATCCTTCTTTTGATGATTAAATGATATAATGGTTAGACGATAACTTTATTAGATGATTAGCATAAATTTACACTATTGCATAACATTATGCTAAATAGATAATAAAATTAAAGTAAAANTTTTATAAAATAAGTATAATAAAATTAACATTAGCTAAGTCATAAAAGTAAATAAATTTTCATATTAATGTAAAAATTGTAAACAAAAATGACCGAACGTTATTTTACTAAAAGTTTCATAATTTGCCGTTATAAAACTCTTTTAATTACAGCCAAGCCTCGATAAAGCGCTACCATCTGTTCGCCTTTGAAATTGGTACTAAATGAAATGTGGCGCTAAACCGAAAGATCTCGAATGATAAGAATTAGATAAAGCAATGAAGTCTACACATAAGTTTGAAGGGCACGTAATTTGGTGACAACAATGCCTTTTGCAACGTCAAATCATGCATTTAATACGAGTAACACACAAAGGCTGAAGCATTCTCTATTTAATAGTTAAGTGGAAAATTAGTTCGTGAGATTTATTGGCGCTCTTTGAGTGTTGCGCTATTTAGGAGGACGTTATATCGAGATTTGACTGTATATTATTTTAAAAAATTCTATAATTTCTTATAGAAATATTATTTTCTATGAAAACCATTCCAAAATAGGAAAAAGTAACTTCAAACGTCCCAAAAATTATCATCATCATTTTAATAAGCTAGTTTTATACATGAAATAATTTTTAACGCTTTGTTACATTATATTTAAATCCTTCTTTTGATGATTAAATGATATAATGGTTAGACGATAACTTTATTAGATGATTAGCATAAATTTACACTATTGCATAACATTATGCTAAATAGATAATAAAATTAAAGTAAAAAATATCTAATCGATAAAATAAATATATTTATAATTAAGTTAAGTGAAGTCTTGTTGCTTGAAATTTAATTTAAATAAAAAAAAGGTTAATTAAATGTATTCAAGCTAACTGCTATAATTCTTAAATTGCTTCCGTTTAATAACCTTATAATAAATTATCATTAATGAAAAAAGTTTTATAATGAAAATATGTAGTTTTTATTGCTCGTTAATAAAATTAAAATTTTCTATTAAATCGCTTTCTTTTATAAATTAACATAAAAGCGAGCAACTTTTAATTAAAATAATTAATTTTTAAATTTAGCAAGTCAAACACGCGGAACACAACAAAGAATTTCAGCTTTCTCTGTCGATAAACTTTAATATTATATAATTAATTTTATATTTTAAAAATTAAATTCTCGAAGCGAAAGTTATTAAAATAAATTTTAAATTTCAATCGAAGAATGAAGACAATAGGCCTGAAAGAAAAATATTAATTACCGAATAAATCTCTTCAGCTGTGCTTTAAAGAATTTCATAGCAACATGTGAAATAAACACAGCTGTTACTAAAACAATTTATTATACAATAAATTGCATGAATTTATAAAATTTCGTACAATAATTGCATAAAAATAATCTTTAAGTATTGAATTTTGAAACAAGTAACTTTTATACACAACAATAAATTCGAATTTAAAAAGTTGAAAAGAAAGAGAAGAATATTTTTAAATTTTGAATTTTACTCTTGTTTAATATTGTATAATAAAATAAATTATATATTTCAAGATATTAACTCGTTTAAATTTCAAAGTCTATGCAGTCGAACTTCCAATAACCCGCCTCTAAACGGCGGTCAATTTTAAAAGGACGTTTCTTTTTAAAACGTAAAGTAACCTTCAAACAACGACCACCTTCGAACAATGACCATTGTTTGGAGGTTTGTCTGTATACGCAAAATAATTAATAAAATTTATAATAATTTTTTATTTTAAAACTTAGTCCTTTTAAATTTTCACAATTTTACATAGTTTTGAAAGTAGAAATGCATAGAGCCTACATGAAGCTGTCTGATTAATTTTACTCACTTTATAGCTGAAGAGGTAAAAACATCTGTTGATAAAATGCAATTTTATGAATGACATCTTCTGGATTTTATGGTTTAGGTAACATTCTGCCTCTACCGTGTTTCTCGAAGTCATTTCTCTTTCATCTCCTAGGTCTAACTCCTGGATCTTGTTCCCTGGGGTGTACATAATAAATCACATTTAACAGTAAATTTCTAAAAGTGAGATTTTATACTTTCAAATATACTTTTTAATTTATAAAATGTTTTATCAGCATAGAGTGAATGAATTTATTATTATTTTAAACAGTTTGGAAATCGTTATCTTATCAAAAATCATGTTTTCGTAAATAAAAAATCCTGAATGAAAGTCTTTCCGACAAGAACTTCATAAGCTAGTTTGTCTCAAAACTGGAATTACAGTAGAACCTCAATTATCCGCCCCCGATCAACCGACCGTCCTAGTCGGCAAATTTCAAATGTCCGCTAGTGATGTGGCGCTACAATATTTGGCTATGTCTTGGCTACTTTAATATTATTTTTACGTGTTTTAGCTGGCAACACTCATTCGACCATGAAAGGGAGCCAGTATTTAAACGAAGCTTAATTTTCTAATTTTTAACGATACAATAGCGACGATTATTATTTTAAAAAATTTTTGTTAGGCTTAACATCGATGAAAATTCAACGCAAAGTAGGTTAATAGCGATATACTAATATACTAATTACATGGGATATAATAATATACTACACTAATAATGGATTTTTTCATACTTTTCGGTTATCCGACTTTTCAATTATCCGACCAACCCCAGTCCCCAATTAGGGCGGATAATCGAGGTTCTACTGTATTAATGTTCTTACCTGAAATGGAGTTAATATAAAAGTTTATTTTGTCGAATTATGAAAAACTAGAACTTTTCAAATACAGTCAAACCTCTGAATAACAGTCTCTTAAAACAAAAAGAACAAAACAAAAAATGGCCGCTGTTTAGAGGTAGCCATCATTGAATGTTCGATTGTACTGTACTGTACATTAAGTCTTTTCTGCATATATACGAGTACACATATAATTATACAAGTTTCTATGTTATAAGAATTTAGGAAAATCTCATTTAATGCTTTTTCTAAGAATAAATTTAGTGAATGAAACGAATGTAAACTCACTACAGATAATTATTCCACCCTTTAAAAATGTCGACATTAAACTTTTAAAAGCAAAATTCCACATTAGTTGCATTCTTCACATTACTTTTACTCCTTAAATAGTTATAACTATTTGCAGTTTTTCTAAAATTTAAAACTGGAAAATAATTTTGATTATTTCCTAAATGATGTTTGCCAGGAAGTAAAAATCATTAACTTCATTACTTTGATAATTATGAAAGCATTTAATGAAATTTCACGCATTGGTTGCATTAAATTATATTTAAAACCACTCTCAGTGAATTAATAATATCAAAAAATAAATTTCAGCAAAAATATCTACTTAAAAAATATTTAAAGTAAAAGAGAAAGAGAAACTGAATTTAGTTAGAAGACATTTCTACCTGTAGCTTTTATTCCACCTCTTTTCTCTTGAATTTTGATTTTAATGTGAATGAATATGCAACATCTATTATATACTATACATGCAAATACAATAGAATCTCTATATATATATCATAAATCCTGATATCCAGAATCTATATTCTGGATATCAGGATTTATTATTTTATACAAACTTTCAACACTCTTGTGTTAAGATAAACCGTGTTGGAGCTGATAAAGATCTGTTTACATTGTCAATACGAATGTAAGCAGGTCAGTTTCTCATTACTACAAACTAAATTTTCCTATTTTCTCTTATTTAAGAAGTTCATAGAATGTATTTGTTTATTAACAAATTACTCATTTGATTGTTCTTACAAAAAATATTTTAATTTATGCCTAAAATTAAACTCATTTTTACTAACCATTTTTAAACTAGATGAGAACAATTTTAAATATTTATTTTTCAATTTTAAAATTACTATCAAAAATTTTTATTGTAAACTTTTTATAATCATGTAATTCTTGTTTAGATATTTAAATTATATTATCAATAAATACTTTTATAGTTATTAATTTTAATCAGCAGAAAAGATATTGCATTAAGTTTATGTAGAAATCTGAGGAAGAGCAAATATTACTCTTTTTTATCCAAATATTTAAAGTTACATTCAGATATTTATTTCACACATATCAACACACTTTAGTAAACTTCGACATCAGAAAATAAATTTTTAAAGTTTTATGTGAATAAAAATATTTTAATTTTAATAAATTTTATTTTGTTACTTAATTATAATTATAAATAATTTTATTTTAGAATATTTGATTTAGTAAAATTAGTTAAATATAAGCATTTAACGGCCAATTAATTTTTTTATAATATTTTTCTATAAAAATTTCATCTTTTTATAAAGTGGTAAATTAATTTTTGCCAACGTTTTTAAAACGTAATCACTAAAAAAATCTACCTAATTAGATCATTTAAAATAAAAATATTGTTTATTTTTTATTTTAATGATATAATTAGATCTAGTCAGATCTTAACATGTGTAAAAAAATTAATTTTTATAATGATAATACATTTAGTTACGTTTAATATCTACTAATAATATGTATATCAATTTCTAGTAAATTTTTTTACAATAAAATATTTGAAAAATTACAGTATAATCAAGGTCAATATTTTATAATAAAAATATTTTTCGTAAATTATCAAAATAAATAAATAAATGGAGAAATGTGGTTATTTTTCTAATATTTATAAGGAAATTTTCGAATTGAATCGTGTTTTAGATACACTCTGTATTGAAGTAAAAGAAAAAAAGTGACACATTTATATCTTTAGAAATACTGTTATTAGACCGCAAGTTATTACCATGCTACACGCTAGCATATTCGACAAAGCATTAGTTTAAAACGATTTTTCTTCGATCTAATTACATGAATTTAAAGCAGAAAAGTAGTCGTTGTCACGGTTCCTTTACTAATAATTGTCGGAAAAATCTATTGTTTAGATATGGATAGCGATAAAATGCTCGCTTGTTTCGGAAACAAATATAGTCATTAGAAGTTTTGGTTGCCATCGCGTCAATGCAAAAAGAAATATATACCGTATATATAAAATAAAGAAAAATCAGTTTAGGCACGCTCCTCCAAGATGTGATAGAATAAGTAAAGCTCAAGGTCAACAACTGGAATAGTGTCTGTCACCACAGGAACCTGGTCTTTCGCCTCTTGGTTCACTAGAAACGAACGAGATTTAGTGCTCTTGGAATTCAAAATGTCTACCATGGTGTGCAGTACTTGGCTGCTTACTTCTTCCTTTTTCATCTCTAGAAAATTTCGTATTTCAGTTTAAGTAAAGAACCGTTTTTTAAAACCTTAAATATATATTACATTATGAATTTATTCTTATGAGAAATATGAAGTTTTAATTTTACTTTTAAAATTGTAATTGATGACAAACACGTTAATCTAATACATAAACACAACTAAAACTGTAATTTATATACAGTTAGGAGCAGGGCCGTTGAAAACTTGGTATGGATAAATTGGATCCTATACCAAGCCTTATTTTTTGAACATATGAAATACGTAGAAATTTTTTTTATTAATAAATGTCTTAAAGATTTTTTTACGAATAAAAAATAAAAAAAAACATTAATTTATAGTTGTAGGAACCACTATGGGCTCAAAGAAAGTTTCCTTCCGATTATTATTTGTATATAATCTCGCATAATTATATTTCGTAATAACAATTCAATAAGTTAAATTCAATATGAAAAAGTTTCTAGAAAATGAATATTAAGGATTGAAGATTTAAAAAATAAATAAAACGTGGAAAAAGTTAGCTGAGTTGTAAATGAAATTCAATGATAGATGCTTTTATATTTACCCCGAAAATGGTTAGTTCTCGTGTAATAATATGAGAATTTATAAATAAATAAAACGAANGAAAAGTTTTTATTATATAGTTTTTTCAATATCTAAATAATATGAGGAGAAATTTACATTTAAAAATTGAAACATTTATAAGAAAAAATTGAAAACATTTTCATCAACATTAAAATGTGAGAGATTTATAGTATGAGTATTAAAGATAAAATAGCATATTTGATATTTAATTAAAGCCGAAAATTTTCTAACAAATTTCTTTGCAAGAATGAACAATAAACATTGTTTTTTTTCTCCTTGAATTTTGTTATATTTGCATTATTATAAAATAAATAATAAATACTGTTTTTAACAGAGATTATTTAATAGAATAATTTAATTTATTATACATTATAAAAAATAGTTGCTTTCTTTGATCAAGAATTTCCACTAAATAAGATTTTTATCATAAATTTGTTGTCAAGCTACTAAATTTGGGGCATTGATCTTTCTCTTAAAAAGTAATATATCAGTTTGACTGAAATGGAACAATTCGGTTCTGCCAAAGTAAAGAGAAATTTCTGATTGGTAGAAGAATTTGGACTCTCTCGCTTTGGATTATTAACTGCTTTCAAACATTTTAATTGAAATCGATTTTCTATCCCTTAACGTCTCGATTAGTATATAAGTTAATATAATTTAATCGATAATTTAATTACATTTTTCATCTGTTTAACGTGTGAAGATCATCTTGAAAACTTCAAGATGATGATTTTTTTACTCTATTTTTAAGTGAATTATTAAACATATTATAAAAAATCGATTTCAAAGTAATTTATTTTAACTTTATTAAAAAGCTAATGTTTACACTTCATAGAAAAAACATTTACTTAACTATAGACATGATTATTAAATATTTAAAATAATTAATTAAATTTTTACAATTAAACATATAAATTTATGCATTTCTAAAAGTAATCTAATCATTAAGTTTTAATTAATAAAACTTATATAATAATAGATTCAATAAGATATAAAAGTATCCGAATATTATATTCAATTTCATGCTCTGAATCTCGTCAATCAATAAGAATCAATATGCTATTTGTAGGTAATGAAGTGTTACTTGAAGGTTATCTAAGTTGAAAACATCTTTAATTTTTTAACAAAGTTTTAAACGAAATGTTTACGATATTTTATGTCATTTCAAAGCTAATTTCTAACGATTAAAATTTTACGTGTTATTTAAAAGTACTGTCGAACCTCCAGGA